TTCAACTGGAATACAAAAATTGCTATACATAAATATGTGGATAGAGTGGTGTGTGAAATGGAAATTCATCAATATCAATCATCCATAATGGATCATACGGCTAAAAAGCCACCATCATTTGAGTTGTGTCACTTTACACACACATCATTTGCACAATCAAACAAAAATCAAATTATTAACAAAAATTCTCTAAAAAAAATTACTTATTAATCTTATCCTGTTGTAGTTAGTTTCCTCCTACTAGACAATCCAATATTAGATCATGCATCTTTTCATAAATGTTTTTAAAAATTATTTTCCGTCTTTATTGTACCTAATTTGTTGAACTTAATAGTCCTCTCTATGTACATGCATGTCCATGAAACGTCTCACGTCATGTATTGATCGTAAGTTCGTAACCTTAATGCTATATGCATTCTTTTATTTATATTAATGTTATATACATTTGACAGATATACATGCATATACAAGTGAAATAAAACCTAAAAGAAAAAATATAATGCTTTCGTCATATAACGCAAACATGCAACACATTTAATACCAACGTAACTTCTAAAATCTCATTTGATTAGTTCTAATTAACTTCTAAGCTAGATCCAAATAATGTGTAATGATGGGTTTATTGTCTAAATCTGATTGTGGGAATCAACGAAGACATGTACAACTTTACATTGTGTCCACAACCAAACAATTCTTAATTTAATGATATAATCGTAACAAAAGATGCACAATGTCTCCTATGGACCTTGAAGAGCCAATCTGTTTTAATACTATTATCAAATAAAGGTTGCGATATTATTAATTAGGTGATTCCTTCACCTAATTAACTCTACTAATCTAGCCTGTTTGGACTCCCAAGGGCTAATACCCAATTTTTTAAAACAATATACCCGTATTCTACTGCTATGAGTTTTATTATCAACAAGAAGAATATATGGATCTTTTTGTTGCAATATAAATTAATGTTATCACCTTTACATTAAAATACTAAACATAAATATTCCACTAGTTAATAATACAAATCTTGTTGCCGTGAGCTATTGAAAAAAGCAACCCGGTTAACATATTCAATTTGTAATATCTTCTTAAATTTTACATTAAATATCGTTGCTTGTTTAGAACAATTCATGGTCATTTGCTTATTTGCTTAACCTAATATTATATCAGTAACTAGTTGTTATTCAAAAAATGATTATAAGTAGTTTTTGTTTCTTATAAATAATTTATAAACAGTCTGAAAATATTTAATGAGACAGATATGATATTTGGATAAGCATCAGTAGTTTACTTTTTTTTCTTTTTTAGAAGTATTTTATTACAGTGTCGACATAGAAAAAATTGGTAGTAATACTTTATAAAAAAATGATTAATAATAGATTACTTAATTATTTTATTTAGAAATGGCCGTTTGACACGTCTAACTAGAATCGAAGTCGAGTCTCTGGGTTTCTTCTTATCCACTCGCGATGCCGCCAATATACGACACGCGCTCATTTCCTTTAATATAACCGCGAAAATTATTTCCTTTAACACGCGCTCTCGTTAAAGCGCGTGTGCTTACTCTTGCCGTCAAACGAAAATTTTAAGTTAACGCCGACGAAAGCGCAGGTTAGAGAAGTAGACGTGCGCAAGATAGAAATGGAAATTAGAAAAATTTAAAGAA